AGCTTGAGGTAGAAGTTTAACCCAAGTGTGGTGTGTGGCAGACAAGATGTTAATAGTCTGCACATACTTTTTCCCCTTCTCTCCTGGTAAAAGGAAAAAAACCACACATGTGAAGCATATCCTGCTTCATCCTGCTAAAATGAAAACAAGAGGATGGATTTCAGCAGAAAAAATACTGCATGGTGGTCTCTTCTCTCAGAGCATTTGCAAAGACTCCTGAATACTCCAACCAATGCCACACACACCCTTTTACCACCAGAGCCAGTATCACAGTATCACAGTAGGTTAGAGATTGGAAGGGACCTCAAAAGAATGTATGTGCCATCCTATTTTAGATGAGTCATTTAAAAGTGACTCATCTAGCTGCAGTTCCCTGATATGAACCTTGATTCTCCTTAAGTGTAAGGGAAACTCAGTCAGAGTTGATTTATTTCTCTCTGGTGGAGTCCTGAGAACATACTATAATGATACCGTAACACCCAGCAGCAGTGTCAAAGGAACCAGGCATGGCCTCAGAAGAGGGTAATTCACCTTTCAGCAAAAGCCACACCAGGCCAGCTCTGTGAGGTGTTATTTAAAGAGGCTTTAGATGCAGAGCTCTGATCAAGAGCTTGCAGAAAAAGTTAAATACCACTCTTTATTGCTACACTTGGGCTACACCTAGACACTGCAAATTCTTCCTGTGTAACATCTCTAAGATAGCAACTTGCAAGATCACATAATCAAAATCCTCAACCAAGCCCTCACACAACAGTCATCTGTGTCTTAGAGACATCCTCTTCCTTTTTTGATGCACGCAAAGACTCCTTTCCTCACCTGCCATAGACTCACAACACACTTTTTCTCTACTTGTTCCCACTTCTCTAGCAAAAATGTGTGCTCCTTGTTTTCACTTTCAGGGACCCTTGCAAAGCCATCCTTCCCCTTGCCATCAACTCTTCCATAAACACCCCACATTATAACCATTTCTTCAAATGTGTTAGCAGCCTGGAGGCCACATATGCACAACAGGCCCAAGAAGTGAGCACCCTGCTCAGACAGAGCAGAGCTGGGATACTTCCACAGCCAACAGCACTGATTACATCAGTTACTTTCACTCTCCCAAAAGGTTGTGTACTGGGTTATGATCTTGAACATCTAGGGAGAAGGAATCAGCTCTATCTTTGCTCTGACTGCTTCCTAGCAGTACACCACTGAGGCCATTTCTGCCCAAAGCAGGGTTTCTGCCATGCAGGACCACTTGTAAAATGTCTTCTGCCTTGTCTATAGCATTCCAGCAAGTTCTTCCTCCAGTGCAGTCATAAATCTCTCTGATATTCCTCCCTGGATAACATGTCGATTGCCATGGCATTCTCACAGACTTGACCTTGCTGCTCTGAGTTTGCGGCCATGGACTACGCAGTAAATTCAGTTTTAACTTCAATGTAGCATACATACCCCCTTACAAAAATGCAACTCTTAGCTAACAACTCCAGTAAGACAAATACATTCAGCAATATTGTATTTTAGTACTAGGGAAAAAGGGGTCAAGAGGGACGGCAAGGCATCTCTGAATCACAAACAATAACATTTAAAGTAACATTCAGAAGTCAGGTTTAAAATTCTGAAATAAGTCAAAAATAACAACAAGGTTGAAGTGTTATGCTAGATAGCAAAGCAGAGAATTGCTCTCCATAATGATCTGCAATAATCAGATGATGCAAATCCCAGGACATGGCATCAGACCCAGGCAGCTAGTCCAGTGACTCTGGGCATCATCCTCTTCCTCTCCAGGCTGCATCCCCGTCTGCTGTGAGTTGGCTACCAGCAGCAGCCTCTCTCTAGCACAGAACCATCTGAAACAAATGTTCACAAATGGCATATATTTTTCTTGCATGTACATTTTCCTTTCAAAGTTGTTCAGATTCCAGCCAGGGAAGCTAGAGTCAAATGCTGACAAATGAGGTCCTGGCAGATTATAACTCTAGAATACCCCAGATGACTCAATGATGTGCTGGCTGTGTACAACTCCCATGAAGTGTCAAGGAAAACTGCTGATTCCTAATATAAGCATTTGCAAGGATCAAATGAATTAAAAAAAAAAAAAAAAGGCAAAACAAACCCAAACACCTATATGTGACAAATCAGAGTGTGTGTTACCATTTGCTGTAACAACACAAATGAGCAACTAGTATAAACAGCCTTTTTCCTAAAGTTTGGGAGCCTGACTTTCCTAGACAGTAAGCTGATCTTGATCTGAGTCAAAACAGTTTTTGCTGTGGTCACTGATTTAACAGCAACAAGACACAACTGGCAAAAGGCAAAATAAATGAAAAAAAAAAATTGCCTCAATTTTCAAACCATCCAAAAACATCAATTTCTGCAACATTCATCTACAGAACTTTCAGGCATTTGCTTTAACTTAATGAAGCTTTTGGAAAGAGCTTTACCATTCCTCATTCAAAAAGTAATTAAAATAATTTCAATTTTATTCATCCCTTAATTCTGAGGAAGAAGTCTAAAAGGCTCATCATCAATAGAAATAAAAGTAAATGTTAAATAGTCCTTTACCTAACTTAATCCATGCAGTCTGATCTCAGTGCTATATTTGCCAACATCTCTACAACAGTTTAGTATGAGCAGTAATCACAGGCAGGGTCTGAAAGCTGTTTTTTTCTGGCAAATTTGTGTTTCAATGCAGAAAATGTAGAGGGCTCAAATGAAGAACAACTGCTACACTTGGCATAGATATGCTGTTCACATTCTAGTATTTCTGGTTTGGAGTTTTAACAGGTGTTTATATCGCTTTAGTAGGTGTTAAAATAACAGCATAGCCTTCTAGCAGCCTAGACCCTCACACCACCCATCATACTGTCATCTAACATTCATTTTGCTTATTGTGAGTAACAAGAGAAGGATTAGCCACTTTCTTCTTTTTTCTTTTTTTTTTTTTAATTTGGAAAACCAGAACTGCTTAATAACGTACATTACGTTCCTGGTGTGGAAACTGCTGCAGTAAAACTTAACGGTGGGAGAAGAATTCTGCGAGACTCAACAAGAGTGAACTATTTTGTCTGAAGTAGCTGTATAAATTCATCTTTTATTTCATAGCATGATAATGAATGAGGAACGAAGCATATTTGTCTCTCTGTTTCCCAACATAGCAAATTTCTCAGTGAGCAGTTGCGTTACCAACAGCACTAGAAAATTACAAATTTCAAAATGGAATGTGTCTTACAATCATCATAGAGTGGTGATACTACAGCAGTGAAGACATTATCTCAGCTGTATTTAAATTACAGATTTCACTGATATCCTATTCATTCTTAGCAATGAGCTGCACACATACCAAAATTTCTGACAAACACCAATTCTTTCTCTTGCCTCACTGTTCAGCAACTGCAAGCTAGTAGTTCAGTGGCACACTAGTGTTTGCACTGCTTTTCCACTGAGCTGAGAAGAGTCTAGAAGGGACTAGAAAGGACCACGTTATGGTGTTTTACAGGATGAGCAGGAATCTCTGATTTGATTTCAAGGAGAGCTGAGAGATGACAGATGTGGTGGTGAAGGGAAGTATAGATAAGCATTTTTGTGGCATGATGTTCTCTGGAGCTATTACTACAGAAAGTGACAGAAAAATGTAAAGTTGTTTTGGACATAGCAGCTGTCTGAGAGTAACACAACAGCCTAATTAACTGTATTTAAAACACAGCTAGCCTAGGGGGTTGAAAAGTCAAGTTAAATCTCACAGGACCCAGAAGGAAGGACTGTGCCAGGATTCACTGAATAACCTTCATGTTTTTCCACCAAGGTAAGAGGCTGCTGCACCAGTGTTGCTAAGGCCTCTCTTCCTCAGCTTGCTTCTCTAGCACAAGAACAGATTTTATGCATCTTTGCAAGGTAGTCACTGCAGTCTCTGCAGTGTTCTCTCTGAACATGTTTCTCCACTACCCAAACAGTAGCAGGGGCTCCCATTTGCCTGGGGACATACAGGAGCAGCTATTGGTATAAGTGTTTTTATAAAACTGATAGTGGCACTGCTCTTATTCTGCTGCATTTTTGCTTCCACATCACATGTGGTGCTGTAGGTAGACAGCTGGAATTTCTGTGCATGTGTTGCATGCAAAAGCAGTTGCATGAGTGTTCCCTTTTAGTAATCTGTCTGAATTCAGTGACTCAGACAAAACAGAGACACCTGCAAATTTTCTTTTGTTCAGAGACTATGCTTTCTCCTGAGCCACATTACACACAAAATGTATGTGGGGTAACCCAAAGTGAAGAGTGAGCATAAACCAGTTGCCTTTTTGTGAAGCTGTGTAAAAGCTTTGCATCATCACCACAGCCACCACACCTGGCAGGATTTAAGTAGTACAGCAGTTAAGATGAAGGAAAAAAGTAGAGGAATGGCAGATTTTCTTGTCAGAAAACTCTGAATTCAGCACTATCCAGGCTCTCTCAGTGTTATTCTGGGATAGAGAGATAGAAGCTTCTTATGCTCATCAAACTCTGCTATTTCTTAGTACTATGCTTGGGCTGGTGCTTGCACATTGGTTAGACACTCTCATGCCGCAGGACAACACAGCAGAACGTAGGATACTTGCCATGCAGAAATAGTTGCCTGCCACACAATTCTGTTTTTTCATCAACATTTTGCAAGAGAACTTGCCACACTGGAGTTCCACACTGACATGAGACTGAGGTTTACTTTTCTACAATTTGTTTTGCCACACGTTTCTGTGTACTTTCACAGTTTCAGCAATGCCTACAGCAAATAAAGCAACTAGGCTGCGCATCACTATACTGGGAGACACACACTACCCAGTTTACTCCAGATCACACTAATAAGGCACCTGATTCAGCACCCATGCAGAATTCCCTGAGGTTTTCACTTCTGCCTTATCAGCACCACAAAGCAGCTACCAATTTTGCTCAGCTTTTCATTCCTGTCAAAAAATGCTGGATGACAGTGTGTAGGCTTTTACAAATGGATTATGAACCTGAAGTAAAACGCTACTGCTTACTTGTGTGATTCCAGAAGGTTCCAGCACACAATTAACATCTCAGCAATTGCAGTATGCTGCCTTAAAAAGCCACAAGGAACATAACATCAGATCTTGAAAGGAAACGGTCAGGACTGTCTGCCACAAAAGAGCATATGCAGAAATCTACATACTGGAAAGCTGTACAATAAAACAAAACCACACATCGTATAATTTTATGTGACTATTAATGAGACTTGATATCCACACTGTGATCAAGGAGAAGACTGGCCTTTGTCTCAAAGCTTCTGACATTTTCACATACAACTATTTTATTCATAAATGTCTGCTATAAATGTATGCTATGCAATCTGCTGCAGGAAAACGTGGCTTTTGTTCAGATAGAACAAAATTTTTGTATTGCCAAAAACCTGTGTTCTTTTCTGTACATTTAAAGATCAGAACAAAGGTAACATTTACCAAAATAATGGAGGGATTGGTTTCTTGGCTGGTTTTCAATAACTTACAGATTGTTTCCGTTGTTTTAATATCCGACCAAAATACAAAGAAACAGAAATTACAATGAAGAATTCAGTCAGGAAGAAAGAAGAACAAACAAATGAAGACCCCCACTCTCTAACCCACCCATCTGGCTTTGTAACATGCTTTTGTGTTATGCAGGACAGTATTCTGAATAAGTTTATTGATTTATTCTTGTCTTCAAATAGAATTACAGTCTTAAAGAAATAAGTGGATAAGCAGGCTTCCCTTTAATTTCTCAAACATTTACAAACAAATCTGTCTATGCACAGGAGAAATAAGCAGGGCATATAAGAGTTCATCATTTTTAGGTGAAAACCAGACCTTTTAGTATTAGAGGTACTTGCATCTTTCACATTACAACTGCCTGCAGACATTATTCTTTTCTGGCTATCATTGAGTTATTAGAGCTTTCTCTTGCAGTCAGCACAAAGTAAAGTCTAAAAGAGGAGGTTAGCACAAATGTTGTCAAATACTGGTGTACAATTACTGCCCAGACAGCAAACTAAGAAGTAAAGGGTGTTTGCCTTCTTCCCATCTTAAAATGAAACATTTTGGAAACAGTTTTAAAATCTCAGTAACTATTCCCGCTTTAGAAGCCTTAGTGAAAAAGATTTCTCTCATAACATGTCTAATTGAAACAGTATTCCCATGGTGTAGGGTAAGATGAGTATAGCATGAATTGGCAATAGCTCAGATTTGAGTCACCTCTCAGAGATGTAATTTCATTGATTTCAACTAAATTACTTATGATTTGTGCTACAGTAAGAAAGAAAAAAGAGGGAAAGGAAGAGCTTTCATCTTGATTTTGTACCAGAGAAGTCAATAGCAGTTATTCTGTTGACTGCAGTGAGTGCCAGATTCAACTCAGAGCCTGAGGAACACAATTTTACAAAATCTAGTAAATTCTGTTGCAGCTCCCTGGAGTGAAGACCTAGATGGACAGTTCCTGCTTTCCTCCTTTTTTTTTTTTTTTTTTTTTTTGCTGTCCACTGTTTGACCTGAAAACATTAGTATCAAAGGGCAACTCTTAAAAAGCAAACAAATTATCTCAGAAATGTCTCTCCCACTGTGCACAGCAGAGTGAAAGTGCTCATGTGTTTCCTTCCGCAGACACTTGGGCAGTATCATGTGGGACTTGATCCTGCAAACATCACATGCTAGTTTCACTTTAATCACCCAGTAGGAGAGTAATTTCATGAGTGAGAGGAACTTGACTAAGTATCAGTAATGAATCCTGGAATCCATGCAGTGAAAAGACTGAGAAGCAGAGACTTCCAGGTAACAGTGCCAGGAACAGTCATTACGGTTGTTCTCAAGAGTTTGTTCCCTAACTGGAGCTTGTGCCTCCTCTTTATTTGGCTGCTTTCTATGAAAATGTTAAATCTTGCACTATTTACATGCATGAATATCAATTTGTTTTCTAAAAAACAGAGGAAAAAGCAGTATTTAATAATCATAAAACAACTTGATTAACTCAGCCCAGTGTGTTTTCTGGATTCTTAACAATTTGCTACAGCTAATGGTCCTTGCTTTTGCCTCACACCATTAATTTTCAAAGTTATCATTAATCTCCAAGAAAAAGATTGAGCCTTGATCATTATTGCTTAATTATGTGGAAAAATAGACAGATTGTTAATATTAAATTGCTTTACAACAGGCCAGCTAAGTTATCTTCAATTCTCAGTGCATTCTACAGCTGTCTTTTCATGTCAGGTAATAATTAATAAAATTATTAATTTAAACAAAGATTTTTACTTTTACTAGTGAGAGAGAAAAATCTTTATTTGAGCTTATGAACACTCTTATTTTACTACTCAACTCCTATTGTATTTTGTTTACCATATGTAAGCCCCCAAGGTAAAGCAATTGCAAGCTTTACCTTGACATTTCTATGTAAATTGCTTGAAGTTATGCATGGAAAACTCGTAAGACAGGTTCTGTCTTTCAGAGAAATGGGAGAATGTTCTTCTAAAGACTAGAAGGACAAATTTAAGATCAAAGTTATGAAAATAAAGGTGGACTTAAATATGTAAAGTCAGAGAAGTCTGACTTCTCAGAGAAGTAGGGAACTTTTTATTCCTTGCCCCATTTATTTGGTAATCTCAGCTACCCCCTTAGACTTCAGCTTTCAACAAGCCTTCAGTGGACAGCTTGGTGAAAGCATCCTATTTTTCTAATCAGAAAAAAAAAATATTTTCCTGACTCTTCACAACTAGTCATTGAAACACTGAGGGGCAAACAACTTCTGAATGAAGAAAAAGGCAGTTTTGGCATATACTTGACAGACAAAGCACACCAAATTTCTTTTGGGTGTAGTGCCTGCACAAGGTCATCTTTTGCTCCTTTATCACCTTGAGGAGTGAAGAAGCGAGCCTTAGATAGCTCAAAATCTAGCTATATTTAAACAGCTCTAAGTGCATGAAGGGCTAAAGGAAGGCAGAAATAGAACATCTTCATCTGCCACTTTAATTCAGGTGGGTTTCTTCTCCAGTGTTAGTAGAAAGGCTCCCATTAAAGACAGGCACTGGCGCTCACATAAGGGAAGGAAAGGAGGGCATTAAAACACAGCTCCCCTCCTCCAAGAGTCTGCATTATTTTTCACAAAATTCATACTTTCCCACCCTTTGTGTTGCACATATAATCTGAAGAATCAGAAATGTGGACTCAAAATGATTTCTGGGTACTCCATCACTGATGGAGGATTAAGTTGACATCAGCAGATGCTCATCTGACATGCTCCTAAAAAACCCTAAGGGTTTATACAACTTCCGCAGATACCTTTCACCCTTTCAAATCTACCATTAAAATTAGGGCATTTTGCCTGTTTTATAACTGAAACAAATTAAATAGCATCACCAGTTCAATGCATTGTTCCTTAGCCTAGCAGTGACAGAAATTATTCCATTTCCAGCAACTGCTTACATATCATTAAACATAACCCCTGCCCCCACTGCCAGTCCTTTTTAGCATAAACAAACCCCATTCCTTCTGCTTTCCTTCATGGGTCATGTTCGCTAAACTTCTTATTTCCCAGCTGTCGTTACATTTGCACCTTCTCTCAATACGTCAGGATCAATTTGTCAGCCCTAGTGAAGCAAGAATGTCCTACTGAGGCATGAACACACTGGCCAACAGATTGTTTCTTTGGCCATTGATCTTTTAAGAGAAGCAACTGAACAACATTTTCCCCAAAGCCAGGCAGTGTTTATATTCAAGTGGCTGACCCAACTATTCTTTCCAACATATAATAATACATTATTAGTTTATTATATGTTAATTCCTGTTTTCAAAATAAGATAGGATGTGGAAGACTACTAATCAAAGCTTTGCAGTGGAAGATGACAGACAAAGTATGATTAGAGATGATTCTCCCTTTAATGAAAACATTCCTCTTTTTTTTTTTTTTTTTTTTTTTGAGGTTTCTTTCTTGAAATGGGGAGAAAATGCTTTTTCCTGTTATTACTTTCTGTTGTCATCTCATGGACACTTTCCTCCCTCTCATTATCCAAAAGCACATTCCCTTATTATTCTGCTTTAATTTCCTTCAGAGGATAAAAGATGACAACAGTTTGTGTCCATCTAGCAGGCAGAGAACAAATACTATGTCAATCCAGAATTCAGTTAATTTAATTCAGCTCAGGAACATGGGAGATGTGAACAATTTTTGTGACACGAAGAGTAATGAAAAGTCGACAACACGAAATGGAATTATTTTACTATTACAACCAAGTCTGACAAGTTTTGGGGTCAAATCCCCTGATCTAGATGACTTTTACAGGCAAAACCTTAAATCCTTGTCACTTAGAAAGAAAGTGTATACCTCATCTTCAAAAAAGTTCTTTAGCAGAAACAACCAACATGATGGTCAGGAATTCTTTGGCAATATCTCTAAGCCCAACCCTACCCACTGGCTTTCACTGTATAATTTTTAAGTTGTTAATGTATTGCAATAAAATTCAAGATACAGATGTTTACACACCATCACATATTACTATATACCACATATGGCAAGGAAACAATTCATTAGGTGATAGTATATAAAGCAAAGTGCCCCAAGGAAAACCCAAAAGCACAGTGAGATCATATTGATAGATTAGTATTTCAGGAGGAAGAGTGGGAAATCTCCCCTCTCTCCTTCAAGCTAACTCTTATCATACCAAAATAGCCAGCACTAAAACCACTTTTATCCCAAGGACAAAAAATTATGAACAGATTTGTAATTAGTAATTCTCCCCCATATCTCCAGTGCTGGATGTTCCTTTCTTTTCTTCCTTTATCACGTTGTCTTGCCCCTCCCAATTCTGTGCGTGACCACAAAATACTGACTCTTTCACAAGCATCTTTTTTTATGATGACAAGTGTGACCCTATGTACTTTATTTCTGCTGCCTGAAATGCCTTCCTTGTTTTTCTCTCTTTTTTCCTCTCTCTCATGCTCTCCCTCTCTCTTTTAATCTCAGCTGAACAAATCTCTTTTGCCTTTTACTTCTAGTGACTAAGAGCCAAAGCAGAAAGGGATTAACTCACCAAAGGTGCCTTTAACTCTGTGAAGCACTGGGGGTAGAGTCAGTGCCTGATAAAGTTGACAGGTATTAAAGCTCTGGTACTGCAAACAGG